CTGACCGTTGTGAATCGGGCTAAAGTAAGGCAATAGTTTTGAACACTGGCTGGTTATGTACTTGCTCAAATATTGATTTCGGATCATTTTAAACCAAAAAAAGTTACGGACTGCAGCTTTAACAAATGGATGTTAATGTTGTCAATATTAATTAAGTGTGTGCTTTTAGTTCCTTTAATGCATTTTCTGTGCTTCTTAATATTATATTCATGCTCATCTTGTTATAAACTCTTTAAGGGGTAGCTTGGGTATTGTGAGGGCTTAAAGGGGAAGCAATGGAACATCTGAGGACAAAGTTAATGAAAACAAAAAGAACACCCATAACCTATATTTTTTCCTCTGAATCATTGCAAACAGAAGCTACTGCAGTGACTCACCTAGTGTTTTTACTACTATAAATCCTGGCACTGGATTCTCAGTGTGAGGTGGAGCCCTGTCTTGAGTGTCAGGCCAGTGTGTGCAAGCAGACTGACAGAATCTGATCTGTGTGTCAATGCTTAGCCCTTATACAGACAACAAAAAGTTAATTAGTAACTCTCTTTAGAGAGATTTGCAGTTTACTATGTTCATGTATTATTATTATATTATAGTATAGTATAATATATATTTTTTTATATGACCAACTGGCTGTACATTATCACCTTTTACATGAGTACTCAATATCCTACCAATAAATACATGGACATATGGTATTGTTTTAGTTGAATTTATTTAATAATTTTATCTATATATTATCTCACTAAGGAAAAAAATACGTCAATACACTTTTAAAAATAAAGGTTTGGCAATGTTCTTTTCATAAAGAAAAATGTTCTTTACAGTAAGAAAAAAGTGGTTCTTTTCAGAAGGTTCTTAACTAGTTATTCTGTGGAACCGCTCTGTAACCTTCCATTTTGGAACCTTTATTTTTAATAGTGTAGAAAACAATCAGCCTAAAAACAATATTACCATAATACTGAAGTCCTTTTCACAATAATCGATAAAGGAGAGATGGCTTTCAGTTACCGGCATGGGCAACGCAAAAATACTCTTAAAAATAAAGGTTCCAAAAGGGTGTTTTTGCAGTGATGAAGAATCATTTTTGGTTCCCCAAATGACCTTTCAGTGAACATTTCCTAAAAGAACCATTTTGAAGCAAATTTTTTTAATCTAAAGAACATTTTTCGACTACAAAGAACCTTTTCAGCGTTTGTAAGGTTCCATGTATGTTCAAGGTTCTTCATAGAACCATTGATGCCAATGAAGAACCTTTATTTTTAAGGGTGTATGTATATCTATAGTGGCATATTACAACAAAAATCTGGATGAAGCCGGCTGTCTTCTTCAGGCTTTGTGGAGCATGAGAAAGGGAGGTGGTAGAATGAGACGAGGAGCGAGAGAAAGGTCAGGTGATTTTGTTAGGGGGTGCCCAATAGAACAGCAGAGGGCAGGGCTGGTCAGAGGAGAGACATGGGTGTCCAGAGAATAAATAAAGGCCTGGCGGGTAGTTTGGCCAGTGGTGCTGCTTTCAACTGAGGGTACTTGACTCTCACTTCACCTGTGTGCAATTTTAGCTATTTGCTAATACCAAGTCTATCTGTCTGTCTGTTTGTCTGCCAACATGCTGGTTCGGGCGATCCTGCAGACCTCACTGGTCCTGTGGCTGGTACAGAGCACCATACAAGGAGGTAAGTTAGACGTGTCTTCTGAAGGGCTTGTTGTAGAGATTTAAGGGTGAGAAAGAGAAATTAGGAGAATTTGTGATGCAGGAGAGGGTAGAAAGCAGGACAGAGGCTTGTTATGATATATTATGACTAAAACGATTTTAATCTAAAATGGAACAAATTATGATAAAAAAGAATGTAGTGGCACTAAGGTTGTCAGGTTAATTCCAGGTAGGGCTCTGGCCCATGTACTCAAGCCCTTCATTGTGCCCTCAGGGGAGGTTCTTATGTTTGGGTTGCTGAGAAAATCACATTTTTATTTAAACTGGCACTTTAAAGCAGAGCAATAGGTAGAGTGAATCTATGCATGATTAGGTGGAGAGACCAATCATCCAATGCTTCTGCTATCTGAATACCACTTTGAATGTCTAATAATGTGGACAGATTGCAGCAGTTTATTGATTCAATTGAAATGTATGCATGAAAAGATAAAAAGAAAATCACATCAACTAAAGAATGACTGAATCTCTTTCAACCACTTAAAAAAACGCTTTACAAATCTTTGTCTTTGTTTGTTTAATATATGCAGGGGGTTTGTGAGTTGGTGAAAAGCTAATAATTAAATAATAAACACATATAATTAAAATGAATAATTTGACAGTAAAAGCAAAGTAAAACATTTATTTAAAAAGATTTAATATTTTATTTGTTTGTCATGTGACCAGCAACCGGCATAAGAGAATCTCACGGGGTACTTGAAGTAAATATTTTAGGTCCAAGAGGTTCGGATGCCAAAACGTTTGAGAATCCAGTTGAAATATATATTGCATAAATAAATAGAATACATTAGTTCTCAATTCTTGTTCCTTTGAGAACTGAGATTTCAATAAAATAGAACTTCAGAAGAGGAAATATTTATTTATATCTGCTTAGACTTTTACACCTTTTTTATTTATAGGCTGCATGTCTCACCCACTATGATTTAATGTAATATGTCACAATGCAGGTACCTGAAATCAGTTTGCATACCATTTGAAACAAAATATGAGTTGGATCTCTGAACAAAAGTGCCTGGAAAAGTTAATAGTTGTTAAATACATCCAGCCCCTATTTGATAGACTTTTTATTGTGCTGCTAAAACATATGTTTGTGTTTTTTAAACTTTAATACACAAGGTTATATTAGAAAACTTAAAAAAATTACAGTTTAAGGTTTGTAAATGTTTTTAACCATGTTTGCATATACTGCCAATGCACTATTAGATTAAACAGAAATACAAATTTTAGGTTTATAACTGTTAATCCTTTTCCCCATTTAATATTGTCAGTCCTTTGGTTGACTTTGACATGAAAACGCAACATTGAGGTGAAGTAATCACTGAAGAGTGGTGCTTTTCTTTATCTGGTGCCAATGAGGAAGCAACCAAACAATGAGAAAAGTAACAGTATGCATGACAAATCGTAGCTTGACTTGCTGTCCATATCTGATGCAAGCTATTTATTTTCTACTTTTCTGTGCCTTGTAGAAAAAAAATCAATTGTCACCTATCGATACTTGACAGACAAAACTCTTTTTTTTTAAATTTAGTAATTCAGGCCACACTGTCTTTTCAGTAATCTTGAGGCATTGTTGCGTCATCGAATGTTCAGCCAACAGTCACGGATTTGTACGTCAGACTAAAAGGTGTCTAGAAAATGACGTAATAAAATGCACATAACGATTCCGTGTTAAATGTCTGACGGCTGTGATAACTGGAGAAAAAACACCTCAGGAAGTGAGTCATGGCTCGACGTGTCTGAGTTTGCCTGGATATGCTCCAGCTCCATAACTCTGACCGCAAATTAAACACTCGTATTTCATGTCTGAAGATCAAAACCCAGTGCCTGAAGGTGACAGCGGTGGTCAAAATTTGTCAGCCTTCTGTCAGTCCTGACTTTAAACGGCCGATACACAGCCCATTTTGTCCTTACAGTTTCTGGGCATCAATGGAGGCCTTTTCCAAATATACAGAGACAGTGGTTAGTTCAATGAAATTCACACTGCTAATCTCTTATTACGTCAGCTGACATAGTTTCTTAACCATGGAAGTTTTATTGGTTGATTTCTAAGAATTCAAACAGGAGCTAATCTCACAAACCGAGAAGTACCTAAATCTATTTGAGCACCCTCTGCTGAAGTATTTTTTACGACCTTCATGAGCCCTGCCCTTAAAAACATATGGTGTTAGTATAGTAATATTATCAGATAATATTATGTTGGCCATAATAAGTATTTGCATAGAAGGTTTGCCAGAAAACATGGGATTACCTTGGTAAATCTCCAAAAATATGGTATTCTTATTTTTGAATATTGTATTCAAAATATGGTATTCTTTCTTTTGGGCTAAAATCTTTTACACCGTTTTTTATTTCCTTGTTTTAAAGGAGTTAGGCCACAGACTGGAGCTCTGGGAAGATTGGCGAGTCGAGGTATTTTGCGCTTTTTCATTTCTGTATATATAGTGTATCTGTGAGATATTACAGAGGGTTAGAGGTCAGAACATTACACCACATAATGAGTTTCTTTATCAATCCGGCCTTCTATCTTTTCTCTGTAGGTCCTGGTATCGGTGTACAGTCTGGAGGTAAGTCTGTCTGCTTGAACCTGATGGATGCTGCTGAATCCAATTAGCTTATGTGAGTACAAAGCTTATCTTCTTATTCTTTCATTTCTGTACTGTCCTAGGTCCAGTGGCTGGTATCCTCGGAGCCCGTGGCTATGGGGCAGGCAAGCCAGGAAAAACAGGTGGTAAGTGACATTAACCTCTGATGAAGATGAGATGAAAATAAGTACAAACAGTAAATAAAGATTTACAATTAACCTTTGACTAGACACATGCCAAAATACACAGAACTGACTTTGAAAAAGAGACAATGTATTTGTGGCCACACTTTATTTTAAGGCCCAATTCTCACTATTAACAAATCATTAACTTTTGCCTCAATAAACTCCTAATTTGCTGCTTATTAATAGTTAGTAAGGTAGTTGTTAAGTTTAGGTATTGGGTAGGATTAGGGATGTAGAATATGGTCATGCAGAATGTGCTTTATAAGTACTAATAAACAGCCAATATGTTTATAATAGGCATGCTAATAAGCAACTAGTTAACAGTGAGAATTGTTCCCTATGCTAACGTGTTACTGTATTTGTTTATTTATATACAAAAAGTGAATGGATTCTGTCATACCAAGCATTTAATGTTTTTTTTTCTTTCTCACAAACAGTTGGCCGTTATCTTGGAGGTAAATTGATTCTGCTTTTTATTTTGTGTACAGTGCCGTTCAAAAGTTTGGGATCTATAAGATGTTTGTGAAGGAAGTCTCATATGCTTATCAATACTGTGATTATTTGATCAAAAACAGTTATTTTTATGAAATATTACAATTTAAAATACATTTTCTCTACTGCAATATAGTTTAAAATATCATTTATTCCTGTGATAACAAAGCTGAATTTTCAGCATCATTACTCCAGTCTTCAGTGTCACATGATCTTCAGAAATAATTCTAATGTGCTGATTTGCTGCTCAAGAAACATTTCTTATTATTTTCAATGTTGAGAACACTTGTTGCTGTTTAATATTTTTGTGGAAACAGTGATACCTTTTTTTTTTATTAATAGAAAGTTTAAAAAAAAAGTATTTGGAATAGAAATCTTTTGTAACATAAATGTATTTTCCAGTCACTTTTGATCATTTTACTGTGTACTTGCTGAATAAAAGTATTGAAAAAAATCACACTGACCCCAAACTATTGAACGTTAGTGTAAAATGCACGCAAGCAGTTGTTTGTACAGTATATGTGTGCAATAGTCTGTGTTATTATGTGCATGGACTCAGTGTGTGTGTGTGTAGTTTGTGTAATGAGTATGGTGTCTGTTAGGGGCGGCATACAGACCCACTGCGATCAGAGGAGGCCTGAAACAAGGATATGGAACACTCGGTTATGGAGGAGGTATGTCATTCCTAAAACTATAATGGGCAGATATCAATTTCTACGTCTGATGGATTTCTAGTTCTTGCATTCATCACCATGATCCTGCTATTTTGGTCTTAGCTGCAAACCTTGGAACTGGCCTTGGGGCTGCCGGGCTGGGATTCGGCACAGGGTATGGCCTAGGCAACGGGCTGGGAGCAGCCTTAGGTTATCCAGCAGGGAACCTCGGAGGAAGAGGTGAGAGCTGCTCATTTGCTTTCAATTCAGAAGTACTCTTGCAACACTTATTCACTTTTTGATTTTGGCATTTTCTAGGTTACACCAGTAATGGCTATGGAGCGCAGCTAGGTGAGTATGTGCATCATAACGACCCAAATCAATAAATGACACATTCCAGTTTAATGCCATCTCTTTCCGAGCTGAAGGTTGTGTAGCACATTGGATCTGATCTAACCAATCAAAATTCAACCTCGTGCTGTGATTAAAATCTTTCACATGTAGTGATATATGCTGTCCATTTGCCATGATTAGGTGTCATATTTTTGATGAAGATGAGTGGGAGTTTATGTATCTACCATGAGAGGCTTCCGCTAAACAGGCATTTATTTCTTCTTTCTGTAACCGTGACATCTCTCTTGTCTTGTTGCCAGGTTATGGCGCAGGAGGATACCCCAACGCTGGACGCGGTATGTAACCTCTCCTTGTCAAAGCATTAGGAAAATGTGTGTGTTTAAACTCAGGGGGCTGAACACGGTTTTGTTGTTTACTCGGGTTGCAATAGCAACCTCTACTGACCAACTTTATCCACTTTATTCCAGGAAACAGTTGGATCCTTCCCCCCCATAATATTTTCTTTATTTCAGATTTCTGCAGTATTGGGTGTTTTAGTGATAAAGTGACAATTTGTCGCCAGGAGCAAGATAAACATTCTTTTCAGTGCTGATATAGGCTAGCAGTATTTAGGTATACTTTGTGCACCAAATTTGTTTTTATTTAAACCTTTGTGGTATTTCATAAGTATTTTTTTTTTGGAAGTGCTTTATTATTCTGCTATTTTAGGGTCTTTTGATGGGAGGGATTCTAACCCAATCTTTTGATTTATTCAGCAGTTATTGGAACTTCAACAAAACTGACAGAAGTCTTAAAATATGTTAAGTACTGCAGTACTTCTATGTGCCACTGACTGGCACTGCAGGGGGGCGTGCGCCTTGCCTACAGTTAATTGTTTGCAGAATCATTTCTATGCTTTTATTCTTGTTTTATTATGTACTTGCATACCCAAACGTTCAAAAGCCACTTCATTGCTTTGGAAAAAGTGACACGGGTCACATGGTTTATTGTTGTGGATGAGCTAGTGAGTTTTAAGAGAATATGCAGATGTCTTGTGCTATCAGTTTCGTGTTGGTGGATGTGGATTGATGGTTGTCTGTTTGCACATCGTATTTGTCATGGGTGCTGTCGTGTTGGAAATGTTATGTGTGTGATCTCTAGTCTAAATGTTTACCTTAAGCAGACATTATTATGACAAGTATTGCTGGATGATTTAAGCGTCTTATCTTTGTTTGTTGTTTAATTGCAGTCATCTTTTATGTGTGCTTTGCATCTAATGAGCATTATGGGTTGAGTAACAGCTTATTCAGATTTTTGTGATATGGCACAGCAGCAGTTGTGTCTGCTGGTCAAAGTGTTAGAGCCAATGTTAAATCAGTGTTGTAATGTGCATGCTCTTACAAAACAAAACATGGCGAAAAACGAAAAGCTCCTCTAGATTTGGCGTATCAAAGCTGTGAAACTGACATTAACAATGATTTTGTGGTCTTCAGGATATGGTGTACCAGCTGGCACACCCACAGGGCAAGGCTCAAAACCATCAAAACTGGGTAAACCCTCCAATCTCTCACTCATTCTTGAATTTCCTTTAGGGATAGGCTAATTCCCATTCACAGATCATCAAAATGCATAGATATTCTTCAAAATTCATCGATATTCATGCTTTTTCCATTTTTTTAACTGCAGAAACAGCAGAAATGAGACAAACGGACTAAAAAAAAAAAAAAAACACAACATATAACAAATATCTAAACATTCTTAAATCAAGATACATTTACCGGAGAAACAAAATAACATAAAATAAGTAATGTTTTCTGAAAATATGTATCAAAATTAAATATATGTCAAAATGTGGTGACTTAATGCTTTAAAAAATAAAAAAATATCTGCAAATGGGGTAAGACTAATAAATATGTTTCCTTTAAGTTACGTTTATCTTTCTTATTGGCAGTTTTTGTTGTTGTTTCAAAGCATAAAGTCACTTTATATTGATCAATTTGTCAGAAAACAGTATTTTGCTTCTCAAGTAAATGTATATTGATTTAGGAATGTTTTTATACAGTATGTGTATTAAAAAAAGGCAAAAATATTAAGGAAGATATTCTTTTTATTTTAATTTGTATGTATGTATGTATTTATTTTACAGTGTATTTATTGTTGTGTAGCTGTATTAATCTCTGTATTAGTATTAATACAATCATGCTTTGTTCTCTCAGCTCTTTTTGCTTGTTAACCGTAATATAGGCTGTTTTAGCTTGTTGGATTTTTGTTGATGTTTGAGTCAGTTTGGGCCTCTTTGCTGAAGGTTTAAGAAGTGTTAGAGCACAAAAAGGTCTCAAACTAGTGGATAATCTCTATCATCAGTTTCAGGTCTGAGGTTCAATTCAGTTGTCCAGCCAGCAGGGGGCAAATAGTTTTGCTCATGCAAAAAGATTAGAGGAAATGTTGAGGAACATGTAGATGTTAGTGCAGGTCTAAATCATTCATTCATTTATTAGTTGCTCACCAACAAAAGCAGTGTAGTTCCGTGAGACTGTTAGATAAAATTGTTTAGACTAGGACCATTTTAGTACCTTTTGAAAGGGTACTGCCCCAGTGACAGCTTTGTAGCTTTTTTTTATCTCTATTGAGTCACAGCATTTTGCTGTGACTCAATAGAGAAATCTTGTTGTGCATTAGATATTTGTTGTGATCTTTATCTCTTACATCAGGAATCACTATCCTGTGCAACTTTGCATAGATGTTTGAGAAGTTAGAATGCATGCTGGCTCAGTACTCGATCGTGGTCAAGTTAACACCCTAATAAGTGTCATTTACAATTATGTTGCGTTTTATCATTCTCACCATTGAAATCTTTGCCTCCAGCTGATGTGTCTGTATTCACAGGTGTTGGGCCTAGAGGTGGCCAGCCCGTGTCACAGGGAGAGAGGGGCGATGGTAAACCTCAGTACCTCCACATGTGGCTTTCATGCTTTTTAAAGCTTTCAATCTGCTCTTCTGGATTTTTAGTTACAATATTTTAGCCATTTACTCTGCATGATGAGTGCCACATTGCTCCCTGTTATCTCACTATACAATACATGCCTATCCTTTTTTTTTTACTTTGCTTTTCTCTCCAGCAGAGTAGCATCTCTTATGCTCTTGCAACAGTAGCAGCTGCTATGTTGATAGTACCTTGGTGAATGTTCACTGGTGTTATGGTGTTTAGGTTACAGTCGCGGAGGGGTCCCAAATGGACAGGGTGCTATAGCCAATGGTAAAACTCATCCCAGATGTATGTGGGACTTCATATTTGAAAGATTAATTGCTGTATAATATGATTGACATAGTTGTAGTATAGTCGAGTGTATATCCGCTTGTCAAGTCGTGACATGAGAAATACTGTTTCTGTGTCCAAGCCTCTACTCGTTTCAGTTGAGAATCTCAACAGCTGTTTTTGAGCACTGTTTATTCATATGACACATTTAAGTTAAACTTTTAAAAACTCATGGCGTACACTACAGTCTCCTAGCTCACAACATCCTGGACACTAATATTTAAGGATTTATAAACAGTGGCCATCTGAGATTTAGTTATGAAGTTAAAGGTTAGGACCATGATTTTTTTGGTAGTATTACAGCACACCGTGAGTGTATATTACCACTATTTGCTGTTTGCTTTTGGCATCTGCTGGAGTGTTTGGACATCAGAAACAGTGACATGAGATGTCAGACTTATCAAGCAGATAGTTAGTATACAGTTGTGTACAGTGTCCTCTAATGGCACAGGCAAGTCTAAATTTTGGGTTTTAAGTAATGTGGTCATGAATGACTGTGGGACTAATATAGTAATTGTAGCTGCGGTCAATAGGTTTCCCCTCAGGACCAGGAGTGACCAATGGAATGAGAGCTCAAATTAAGGGTAAACACACTCCAACAGCTGAATTAAAGCCAAGCAGAACATATTAGACTGTATTCAATTCATTTCAAATCTTTGTTGTCTTACACTACCATTCAGAAGTTTGGGGTTGTCAAGATATTTAAGTCTCTCCCTTATGCTAGGCTTTATTCATTTGATCAAAAATGCAATAAAACATAAATATTGTGGAATACTATTACAATTTCAAACAACTTTGAACAAGTTTCATATTTTCATATTATATTCAGTGTCGCATGATCCTTCAGGAATCATTCTAAAATGCTGATTTGCTGCTCAAAATAACATGTATTATTATTATCAATGTTGAAAACAGTTGTGATACTTAATATTTTTGTAGAAACCACGATATGTTATTTTAGCTTATAATACCTTTATCATCCCCAGACTTTTGGACTGTAGTATAGATGTCTATGAATCAAAACTGTTGGTGCAAGATCGCGTACATTGTGTAGGTAACTACTGTTATGATCTATAGGCTATGGTCCAGCAGCAGATATGATTAATGGACGAGGAATTATAAACAATGGTAAAGTTTTTATCGCCTTTGTAGCATACTAATGATCTGTTCCTATCTGTAAGTAATCAGTAAAAAGTTTCTGTAATTAATATGTTTATATTCTTTGGAAGTAAAGGGAGAGTGGAAGGCAATGCATGCAAAAAGACTGTTTTTAAAGCGTAAGCTATAGGTGATGTGAACTATGTTGGATTCTCTGTGTTGAGATAAACCACTGTTGTAATACAATACAGGACCAGTTTTGCCCAACGGACAGGGCACCAAACCATCCAATATGGGTAAACGTCTTCCTATTAAAATGTCACCGGTTTATGGCTGAATGCATGTCACGAGGTGGTGTTTTCTCCAGTCTAAAATCAATACAGTACTCCAACCGTCATCCAATGGAATGAATATATGGCCTTTGACACATTAGAGTGTTAATGATTGTAGACTGGAAAATCCACCCCTCATCATGGACTCATTGCAGCTGCAGGTCTATGAATAAGTGCTTTTCTGTACCACAGCTGTTCAGAAAGGTGTGTGTGTGCAAGTGTGCTGGACTAATGCCTCATCTATTTTTTGGGGCTGTTCTCTTTTCTTTTTATATGCTTCACCTGAGCCTTTATCTTGATATCTGCCTTTGTGCTGATGTGTGCCCAGTGCATGCTGCGTTATTTCTCTCCCACAGGCCACATGTATGGACCAGTCACACACACTGTGAATTCGTCTTGCATGATTACCACAGGCCCCTAAACGATCACATTATTCTGTGATGGCCATGATTTTTATTACTAGTGGCCAAAGTTTCATAGTTTGCATATTTTGTTCACAGGATACGGCCTTGGTGCTGCTGGCTATCTTGGAGCTGGTTTTACTAACGGTTATGGAGCAGGTATCTAGAAATTGTGAAATATTGTTTCTCTCTCAAAGGTCCCAGTATCATTAATTCAAGCTCTAGAATATTCATATTTTGCTAAAGCTACCAAATTTTTTTTATTGCTGATACAGGTGTAGGGGCAGGTGGATATCCACAGGGAGTTCGAGCAGGAAAGCAGATTGGTAAATAATGTCTATTTTATTCATTATATAGAGGAGACGGCGCTAGTTGTCACAAGGGCTGCATATTAGCAACTGTAAGGTTTTGAGTTTAAAGTCTAATTACATAAAGGTGTGTTTTCTACAGCGGTTTATACACTATTTTTCAAAAGATGGGGTCAGTAGGATATTTTATTTGATTAAAAAAAATTGTTCAGGAAGGACACATTAAAAATGATTAAAAGTGACAGTCAAGACATTTGTAGCGTTAAAAAAAAATCTATTTCAGATACTGTTCTTTTTAATTTGCTATTCATCTAAAAATCCTGGAAAAATATTTAATGTTTTCTGCATAAATATTATGCATATTAACTTATTTCAACAGTGATAATAAGAAATGTTTCTTGAACAATAAATCAGCATAGTATAATGATTTCTGAAGGATCATGTGACAGAAGACTGAAGTAATCATGCTGAAAATTCAGCTTTGCTATTACAGGAATAAATTACATTTTAATATATATTAAACTAGAAAACAGCTATTTTAAAATATTTCACAATATCACTGTATTATTGATCAAATAAATGCAGTCTTGGTGAGCATAAGAGACTTATTTAAAAAAAACACAATTTGTTTTTAAAGGTACCAGAACACCTGGTTCAGATACAAATGTTCATTTTTATGATTATTTTTGTGAATTCTGTCCACTTCTCTATAGCTGTTGAGTAAACAGCACATCACGTTTGTATTGGGCCAAGCTGTCACATTTGCAGATGTAGACCTTCCCTGAAAAAATAGTTACTGAAGTAAAAACTGTGACTACTACTTTAGGCCTTTTCTCCTCTATATAGCTATTTAAAATATTGTCCTTTGTTTCTTCTAATGATTTTACTATTCTTGTCTCTGTTGATGCCCAAGTGAAACCTTTTATAATATCATAACATTGTTGCAGTGTGATGCATTAAGCACAAGTGTGGTCAGATCAGCAGCCTGCTGCTTCAGCACAAAGCCAAGAGCTGCTCTAGAGGCAAAGTGCCCCTCTAAGACCTCTACATTTGGGTTCTTGGACAAACATGCGCGTGCTAGTTTGTGCAAGAAACACCCAAAATTTCACACTCTATGTTATGCTAATTATTTTCTGAATCATCTTGGTTACACAGTGGTTGACTTTGACTGTGAAACACAGTGGTGCTTCCTGTGTTACTTTTATACCTTGTGCAGTGTTGAGTTGAATAATGTCTTCTCAGCAGGCTACAGCAATGGATACGGCAGTGAGGTTTATGGCACAGCAGACGGTTATGGAGCAGGTGAGTCTGGACTGGATAGGTATGATGGAGCACGTCCTAATGTCACACTAACATATAAGCATAATTGTAATTGAGTGACAATTGTAATTATGTTACAGGACCTGCCTACCCATCAGTGTTAGCTGATCATTTTGGCATGAACGGTATAGCTGGTAAGGCTGAAGGTTATGAGTGCATTCAAAACACCTGCAGTAATGTCAGCACTTCATCCAGTGTTTCATTCACTCTGTCCTGTGATTATACACAATATTATTTTACTCAAGATTGTAGAAAATAACCTCCTCCAGCCTAATCTGGGTGAAGTGTCTGAACTGCAATAGCTTGACCACTGAGCAATCAGCTGTTGCCTGTGCAAAAGCTTTTATGCTAATACTAAGGTAATCTGAGCAAGACTGCAATATGCTCCTAGAATACTACTAATGGAAATGGTAAACCGAGTGTTTTGCATACATTAAATGGAAGCAGCAGCATCTGCATGAAATCACAGAGGTCAATGTCTGCTCTTTCAGGTCTGGGAGCTGGAGGCCTTGGAGGTCCAGGGCTGGTAGTGAACCCCGGCCTGGGTGCTGATGCCAAGTCTAGAAAATATGGTAAATAAAGTCATCTGAAGTTGAATTAAACACACTAAATACACAACCGTTCAAATAGGGTTTGGGGTCAGTATGATTTTCTCATAAAGGCTGCATTTATTTGATCAAAAATACAGCAAATGCATTGTTTTGAAAAATGTAAATGTTTTAAAGTATTTAAAAAATGTCTTGTGAGGACAAAGCTGAATTGATCTTTCAGGAATCATTCTAATATGTTGATTTGGTGCTCAAGAAACATTTCTTATTATTATCAGTGTTGAAAACCTTTGTGCTGCTTTATAATCTTGTTGAAACCTTGATCCTTTTTTTTTAGGATTCTTTGATGAATAGAAAGTTCAAACAAACCACATTAATTTCAAATAGAAATGTTTCATATCAATTAAAGCAATAAGCCCCTCGAAGCCGTGGTTTACAGTGAATTTATTACAGCTGAGGGGCATTGTTGTCGACGCGAAGCGGAGTGCCTAAAACCCCTTCAGCTGTTATAAATTCACTGTAAACCACGGCTTCGAGGTGCTTATTGCTTTTATAAAACGGTTATTCCATATACGTAGAACGGTTTCACAAAATAAAACAGAGCAAATAACGTGTAATGATAAAAACAGTATTCTTCCACCAAACAATGTAGTTCCTCGGAATCAGTTGTGGTGGCAACAAAGTGTTTGCCGAGCAACACACAGACGTAAAATAAAGGTGTGTGTTTGTAGAGTAATTTACAACAGCTTCGTACGCGGCTCAGCCAATCAGAATCAAGGACCGGAACGATCCGTTTTATAAGTAAATGTATTTACTGTCACTTTTGATCAATTTAATGCATTCATTTCTTTTAAAAATCTTACTGACAGATTACAGCATTTTCCTACTTCACCTGTCATTGACAAATGTGGCAAAACTCTTTCCAGCTCATTTGATCATTGTTGAGTCACGCGAATGTCTCTTCTTCTTTGTCTAGATATGTCTTAGTGGCTGTGGTTGCTTGATCCTATAATACCTCCGGTTTCATTTGTCTAAAGGTGCAGGTGGAGTTCTTGGAGCTGCCGGATCCTTGCCTTACGGTGGCCAGCCTGTGGTCTCAGCTGGACTTGGCCCTCAAGGCAAGGCTGGTAGTTATGGTGGAGCTACATATGGAGGAATACCAACCCTTGGGCCAGACACTTCTTTGGGTATGTGCATTGCACATGTTTGTTATTCAAATGCAACATGCAAATCTCAGTTTTCCGGCTATCCTGATGCTTTGCCTGAGGATTTGACTTGAACACGAATGTCCCCTGTGAGAGAACGAAGATTTAAACAAGAGAATAAAGAGTATTAATAAACCAAACATGATTATAAAGATCAGATAACTATTATGAGAAAGAAAGTAAAGATGGTCTGTCTCCTATCAGGTGGTACAGGTGGAGCAATGGAGCCATTAGCAGGTAATATTGTGGAGTTTTTGGGAAATATATTTCAAGTCATTTTTTTCTGATAACAAAATGTTACTGCCGCAGGCGGAGCTGTAGGCCAGATTCCTTACAGCGCACCAGTCATTGCAGCTGGGCTTGATGGTAAGTTAGAACAAGAGAAATCGAGAACATCATGGACTGTCTGATTGTGACACAGGTCTAAATGTGTTTACCTGCAGTTGATGCTGGTTATCCTTTTGGTGCTGAGCAACTCCGTCTGGGTGCTGATGCTACAAAGACAGCCGCCAAATATGGTGAGAATATAAGCAGTTTTGTTTTATTCATATACATCTAATACATATCTATTACATACACTTCCATAAAATGTTTGGGGTTAATAAGATGTTTTTTTGTTCCTTGGAAGAAAGTAATACTTTTATTCAACAAGGATACATTCAATTGATCAAAAGACATTTATAATTTTATAAACGATTTCTATTCTAGTTCTCTTTCAAATAAATGCTGGTCCTTAAAACATCCCGTTTATCAAAGAGTCCTGAAAAAAAATGTATCTCAGTTTCCACAATAATATTAAGAAGCAAAACAGTTTTCAACATTGATAGGAATAAGAATGCAACTTGAGCGTCAAATCAGCATATTAGAATGATTTCTGAAGGATCATGTGACACTGAAGACTGCTGAAAATTCAGCTTTGCCATCACAGGAATAAATTGCATTTTAAAACAGCTGTTTTAAATTACAATATTACCTCACAATATTAAGCTGTATTTTTCATCAAGTAAATGCAGTCTGGGTGAGCATAAGAGACTTCTCAAAAACAGTAGTGTATGCATTAAATATCTAAAATCGACTGATTAAATAATTAAATCATCTTTAATATTGACTGATAACTGATACTGATGTATCATGCATGCCGAATGACCACCGGTCTGCGTTCTCATCTTCATCATTTCTCCACTAACATGCTAAAACCTAGCAGACATCACTGACTAAATACATAAATGCTGTTGACTAATAACCAGTGTGTTGACTGGTCATTTCCAGGCACAGGCTATGCAGCTGCACTAAGTACTGGTGGTCAGAGACCCTATGGTGGTGAGTAAATCAATGACATGAGTTAGACAAACTAGCAAGTTTCTAACCTAATGACATCTGTTAAGGTCTAATGTGTGGTTAGTTTCACTGTTAATTTTTTTCCCCACAGGACAGAAGGATGGAAGCAAGCTTAGTGGCATTTATGAGAATGGCTACAGAGGTAGATGATATATTAGAAGATCTGTATTCTTAACTCAGCATATTGTGTCTTTTACCTTTCTCATCCATCCGTCTCTTCTCATCTTCCTTTTCTGTCTAGGCTGATTTCCAAGGCCATGCTGTTAAACTCGTCAGTATGTTTTTTTAGCCCATTTATGCCTAGTGTTCCTCACCGTTGTGCAGTTTTGTGACATGTTTTTGTCTGCCTTATTGGTTTAGTGTTAGTTTTGTGCCCATGTGTGTGGGCATGTGTGTTTTGTGTGTAGGTGTGGTTTTGATATTCATTGTTCTGTTTGTGGATGTTCCCTCAGTCTGTTCATTTGTCTTGTCCAGTGGAGTGTTTCATGTCCCTTGTGTGTCTCTGTACCTAACTAAAACATACTAAGCACTTCATTGGCTGTTATTTTCATTCTTATGAAACACTAAATATTCCACCTCCTAATCTGACTCCTTAGTGTTTGTTTGGCAACTATATGATCAATGAGGATTTCAGGAAAACAAACTGCCCAGTCCTGCTTAAGGGCACAATGATGGCAATTACGGGGTTTGATCCTGCACTATTAGCATCAGAACAAGCTAAAAGATGGTTTTGAATTCTGTTTTGACGTCATGTTTTATCAAATTAAACATTACATAATGTCTTAAAGCGAACGCTAACAAAATGACATAATGGTCATAATCTTGTGAGCTCTCATATGGTTAAACGTACTGCTCTCAATTCTCATCCGTCTACAGGAAAACCACATAACAAGCATCCTGTGCCACACTCATGAGAGAGGAAACGAGTCAAAGCCATTGTTAAAGGGATAGTTAACCCAAAAATAAAGATTCTGTCATCATTTACTCATTTACCTCGTGTCATTCCAAACCTGAAAAAGGTAAACTTTCTTTCTCAAAATGTCTGTCTTTTTTTAAGGTCTATACAAGTCAGTGGTGTCTAGTGTTGTTTTGGACCCCATTTACTTAAAGTTGAACAGTTCAAACATTCTTCAAAATATCTTCTTTTGTGTTCCTCAGAAGAAAGTAAGTCATACGGGTTCGTAACGACATGAAGGTGAGAAAATAGTGACAGAATTGTTATTATGCCATTTTTGAACTATCCAGATGGGTCAGAAAAAGAAGCACAAATACAAGTCCAAGCAGACAATTTATAGTCTTTAATGACACAGAACATTACGTTTTTAGTTCTAGATTATTTTTACACATACTGTCATAGTGACTTGAAATTACTTGTAAAGAAATTATGCTACTTACAATAAACAAAAATCATTTTAAATAATACAAAGTGTAGACTGAAAGAGCATAACACAGTACAATGTATATGATGCCAGTGCAAGCATAGAAATCCTGCAATAAAAACAGCAGATAATAAATACGTATTGCGCATTGTCTCTACAGTTGAGACATATTAAAGAATTATATTAAATATGTCTTTCTAATAGTGATTAATACAAGCAAGGTTCAAGTTATATTTTGCATAGCAACAGCAAAACAAACAGATTCAAAGCCAAAACTGACTACAGAATAGTTTTAGCACTGTAATTTGTCTTTTGATATACATAAAGTCTGTCCAGAAGTACTCCCTTGCTCATCAATATTTCTGCCGGCACAGGCCGTGCATTTCGCGATGTGTATACCTTCTCCAGTTGAAGGTTCATGGGAGAACCGACATACTTTGCACAATAGGGGCCAGACAAACTTGGAGCGCATGTCACTTCTGTTTTGTAGAACAGCAGACCGTGATTTAAATTGCAGAAATTGCCATTATGATCTGTTTTTATGGGTACTTCACAGGTTCCCAGCAAATCGTCGTCCCATTTACTGTCTTCATCCCACACCTCCAGTTTTATCTTGTCGTTCTCCGCCAGGACAACATCACCCAGATCAAAGGTTCTCCCCCAGTGGGGTGAGTTGTTATTCGTGATCATATCAGTGCGTCCAACCTGAATGTTATGTTTGTCGAACACTTTAACGTACCCATCGGTCGCTGTGGTCTGGTCACCCCACAGGTCTTGAGCCCTCACAATTGTGACCTTTACCCGAGAAAGTCCACGCTTAGATGGGCAGCAGTCTGGTGTGATCCCAGGATTGTTGCGACAAGTGCAGACACACGGGTTGTTTGGGTTGGTTTTGACGCCATCTTTACAAGAGTCGGTGCAGTTCCTCCAGAGGGACTTTTCCAGGATGTAGTCATGGATGGCTTGGCGCAAGTGCTTGCGCACTGGATCTTTGGTGGGGATCAGCTCATGCAGGGACTCCAGAGAGTAAGAAATCACGTCTGGGTTTTGTGGTAGGGACTCGAGCCATTCTTTGTAAGCTGATGGGTCTTTTCCTCCTGAGAAAAGGAGCTCAGGCTCTGTAGTGTGACCTCCGGTGATCTCGGTCAGCCTTTGAATAAAAAACCAGTTGATTAGGGATACACTGATATTGAAACATGAAATTATTTTCATAAAGGCTATTTTTTTCTCAGTGTATTTGTCGTGTTTTCCAGTACAAATATCTAAATATTATTACATGAAGATACATTTACTTTTAGTTCAGTTCAGTTTATTTATTTATAAAGCACCATTAAACAACAGAGCATTGACCAAAGCGCTGTCCAATAATGAAGATAATTCCTCAAAAAGAAAACAACAACGTCAAAACACAGATAAAACACCAAAATAGTACAAACATTTTTTTTTTTTTAGAAAAAAATTTGTTTTTTAGCCAGTGGGGTAAGGAAAAATGTTTTCCTTTTGATTAAGTTTATTTTTCTTACCCCACTGATATTTTTTCTTGTTTTAAGAAAACATTTTTTTTTAAATCTCTTGAGAATGTCTGCTGATTGTGCGAATGTTTCGATATTTATACTGGAAAACAAGGCAACACTACCAAATAAGAAATTATTAACACTTTTTACAATGTGGCTGATAAGAGATAAATGACTGAGATAAAAATTCTGTACATTTTTTGTCTAAATAAATAAAATACAATATATAAAAAATAAATAGACAAATGAAAATGATTCATGTTAAATTATTCTTGGCACTACAACATTATAATTTACAGTATATAAAAAGGGATATAAAATTGTAGATCTGCTAAAGATTACATTTAATTATTTAGTCATTTATTCATGTTTTTAAAGATTTGCTTTAAGTGAGCATTAGATGATGGCAGAGCTAATCTAAATGTAATATATAGGGGACGTCCAGGACAGTAAATGTATGACAAGCTAGAAATTACAATACACGTCATAATTTAAACCCACCTGTCATTAAAGCGGCTGGAGAAGCTGCTTTTGCTCTCTGTTTTGTCCTTGTCTTCATTACAGTGCTTACTTTCTGCTTTCATATCTACTTTGCCAAGGATGCTGGCACTTGCCTCCACGCTCAAGCATGTCTTCACTTCATCTGCACTTAAGCCCTGCAGAGCGATCTCACACTGTCTGATACTGGTCACAGAGTGTACGCTTCCACCAAGAGTTACCTGGCAAAACAAAAAAGTAACACCGACATACTTCTGATTAATGACTTGACTTGCGGTGTATTGTGTTGTTGAAGCATTTTGGACCTTTGTAATCCAATACATGTGGAGTAAATTGTAAGCCAGAATTACCTTAGTGATGTAATGGGTTCCATAGGTGTTAATGAACTTGTAAAAACGCTTTTTGAAATCAAGATTGTATGTCTTGGGAAGCTCCTTCACAGAGCGCTTGAACTCGGGATGGAGAACAGGCTTGTTGGAGACCCTGTAGCTGAAATGTTAGAAGAGATAGGAGAAGGATATGACTCTTTGGTTTTACTTTATCATGAATAAAAAGTATTCAGTATTCAAGAAAGGCATGAATCAATGGAAGCTGGTATGTCGCACCTGTAAAATGAACAAGAAATACTTTGGCTGGCAAAATTGTACTTGTCTCCTTTGGTCTTCCCCATTGAGTACTCTGCAAGCTTCGAGTTAGTTCCAGCCAAAACGAATGAGCCTTTATTTTGGTGAATATCTAAGTCCAAATTTGCACCCCAGTTGTTCTCAATGGAGGAAGTGCTGGAGCTGACCAGTTCTTCACTGGACTGGAACAGGGAACTTGATATCTGAATGCTGCACTTTTTGCTGGATCTCCAGTCTACCACAGATGTGGGAAGCTTTTGATTTGCTCCTTCCATGTAGGGGTTCCTGCAAAGAGTGCATGATTTATCCTTTCGCCTCCAGACCTCTGTGTTAATGACAAAGGCTCCCATGCGCTGCATCTTGGTCACATCGTATCCTTCTCCGGCCAGGTTGGACCCGGGGGCGAAGTTTGCTTCTGCACATTCATTCGGTTTACCTTTAGTGCATGACTGCACGATGGGCAGAACGAGGTAAAAAACAAGCCCGGCCCACATTCCTGTAAAATGGATTGAGATAAGGTGTATGGATGCTCTTCTTTCCTATGAACAAAACATGACAATTATGTGTGTGCGAGTGTTTATATTTTATTGATGTATTTATTTATTTTTATTGAAACTTGAAATAGCAGTACAAAATTGCACAGTCAACGGTGAGTAAAAAATGACTGAATTACAAAAATTACACTCTCACAAAATTACTTTCACACTCAAAATTCTAAATTATTATAAATAACAGTCATAACAGGATGGATGTCTTGCTCTGCAAGTTTTTAATAACAGTCTGTTGCGCATGAACATGATGGAAAAAGGTTATTATATTGTATTGTAGTTAGGATTATGACAATTTAGTGGATCTTTGGCTACAGGGATCATAAGGAATATTTAAAAAGAACAAATTTCAGTTACTTTTTAGTTAAATTATTATTACCATTATGTAAAATCTCCAAAACCTTCATAATGTAATAAATAAATAAAAATATTGACATAATAGTTCATTTTCATTACCAAATAGATTTGTAATGTTTAAATGACTTCTGAAGTAAAAAAAAAAAAAAAAAAAAAAGGCATACTTAACCCATTTAGTCCCACTGGTCACAATAGTGACCATAAAAAGGTTTTCATTTATAAACCTCTCAAATCTTTACTGACTTACTAATGTTTTTTATTTCCTGCAAATATAAGTTACAATATTGATGTTGTAATACTGGTAGCACTAAAATAAAAATGTTGATAAGTATTACAAAAAAATTAACAATTTTGAAAAACGTTGATGGTTGTATTTTTTGTCTTTTATCTCAGTATTCCTATCAATGTTGTATAAGGGTTTTTTTATGCATAATAGTAACACTAGAATGTGATCAAACTGTTTAAAATAGCTGGGCTAAGATATGTAACGATTTTTATTATTGCAGAAATATGTTAATTCAGTACACACATTATCCCACCGG